GATATATGATACAAAACATGAATAAATTAAAATTGCGGTACAAAAATGAAATCAAGTAAATTGCAAGTATAAAAAAAAAAAATTACACTAGCTACCTACATACTTCTTTCATTTTTTATTTTTTTCTTTCATTTTGGCCCCTAAGTTTTTAAAAATAGTAGTGAGTCATTGCCCTAAATTCTCGTCCTAATTAATATATAATCAATAATGAAATTTGAAGAGTCAAACTGTCTTATCTCTTTTTCTTTATATTTATATTTATTTTTGTACACTTGGAAGTCAGTCACACCTTTAAACCCTAAATATTTTTTCAAATGTAATATACAATTAAGTATATAATTTATGGTCATGTAATTTTGCCCAATAAGATTTCGAAGTATGCGAGTCTGCTACTTAAGTTTAGCACATTTTAAATTTATATATAGGGGAAATTTTTTTGATGAAACTTTAAAATATATTTATAGAAAAATAACGTACCTTTTCAAAGTGTTTTTCAAAGAAGTTCAAGTTAAATATCTTTTTTTTTTTTTCTTTTGTTGAAGTCACATTTTAAAAATAATTATCTAATTAAGGGCTTTTGAATAAATACTCCCAAACAACAACTATATATACAACACACACACAAGTAAAAGGGGAAAAAAAAATAGAGGTAGACTATTATTAGACAGGCCTATCGATTAAACATCCTTACTTTTCTCAATATATATGTATACTTTTAAATTAAAATATCATAATCTAAAAAAGTATAATAAAAATAAAAACATGACATTTCATAATATAAAAAAAAAATTGTTATACAAAAATATGAAGGTCGATTAACCTCACGGTTAGGCTGCTCCTTCGAAAAATTGTGAAAAAGCCTAATAAATATTGGATTAATTAGAGCTTATCTACACACTACATCTCATCAATTGTGGAAAAAACAAATCATTATTTTATCAATTTTGACCATCAATTCTAATGAATTTTTTTTGGTACAGGGACCTTCCGATTTCCGGATCCACAGTGAAACCGACTAATCCGAAATCAAGCCGGGTAGGATCACAAGGGCGGCAAAGCTCTCCCTCAAGAGTTACTATAAAGTTCTAATGAATTTTTAATCTATTCTAATGAATTTTTAATCTATAATAGGTACTATAAAGTTACTGCCAAACTCAAACCTGTGTAAAAAGACACGCAAATCAGGAGTGTGAATTCTCCTAGTTCCACATAACTGTTATTTAATTATTATTATGGCAGTTAAATCGTAATTTATTAGGACTGCAAACGAGTCGTGAGTCGTGAGCCGCTCGCGAGCGCTCGTGTCAAAGCTCGACTTGAGCTCGAGTTTGATCGAGCTCGAGTTCATATTTACATTGTCGTGCGGCTCGATATAAAAATTTAATTACTAAAATACCCCTTATATATATTTAAATAGTATAACAAGTGCTTAATGACAAT